GGATTGCAAAGGCTACGCCGGAATCAAGAAATTTGTAAAATACGCTCGGTCAGCACCAACTGCATTTTTGTATAGTATTCGATGTAGACTGATTGATTAATTAAAGTTCTTGTCAAAGTCAGTAAAAGATCAATATAATATCCATGACAGTATAATATATACAGATAATATACAAAATCCGAACATTTTTCTCTGTGCATTGTCAATTAGATAACCTGTTCTTGAAGGTCTCAAGTCTTAACTGAAGTATACATTGTAAAATGTGCAGATTAATACACGAGTTTAATGATATTGAAGAAATTGTTTGATCAATTGTTGCCTCTGTGCACATACCATGGATAAAACACAATGCATTAGTTTGTATATGTTACATCACGCTTGCTTACCTGCATATATGTGAAGTATATGTGTGTATTGAAGATCCGTTAACATTTATAGAAAAGACTCACATGAGACACTCATCATGCATAGGAAAGCGTATACCGAGAAAGTGAAGAATAATCCCTGAGCGGATGCCAACATTTTCAGCATCTTGATGTTTTTGTAAGTATAAATAGTAAACTACAAGTACCATTCGTGATATAGCCGATTAAGATAAATAATAAAACTGAGAGTGAAGGTAATGCGATCCACAGAAAAGTTTACAGAATGTAATAACTTGATATATAAGATTCAAAAGTTTCCAGTTTAGGAATATGAAAAGTATAAAATGGAACTACCATTGATAATTATGTAGTATAGGGAAGTCACCCTCTGATGATCTTGACCTTGACATATATTGTCAAGGCCATGAACCTGAATAACCTCTAACAGGTTTTAGCAGTCGCTCGTTATTCGTTAAAAAGTTATTAACAAAAAATTTTACGAAATAACGTCTTACTTTTCGACATATAATATTAAAAACATCTGACTTTCTCTCCCCTGCCTGGGAGCTCATGATTTTCTCATGTTATATGACCTTGACAATGTATGTCAAAGTCAAGATCATCAGAAGGTGGCTCCCCTATATTACATAATTACCCTACCATTTTTATTTTTTAGTATAATCATTCCTTATTCATTTTTAATACATTTGATGTTACACTTTTACAAACTATCACATTTTTCGATTCGATAACAAGTTTGTCTGCGTGAAACGAATTAGTCAACTTTCAGAAATTTTTTAAACTTTATACATCGATAGGGCTCTGGAAGATAGAATTTTATGCCAAAGGATTTTTTAATTGGAAAATTAATCGAGATATAAACAATTGATGTCAAGTTTTACGAAAAGAAAATTGTTCTGATTATTTTGTGCCATATTTGATTCTTAAGTGTAATGACGCAGTTTCTATTGATTTGAAAGTGGAAAGAAGGATACAGATCAATTTTGCAAGATAATACGTAAAGCGATAATATAATCTTGAAAATTAGGAGAAAAAAATTAGTATTTCAACGAGAAAAGCAAAATTCTGGAACCTCAACGAATTGCGGTTGGTTCAGTCGAGTAAAACGTATTTGCTTTGTTTTTTTTCTTCGCAGTTGGATTCTACACACTTTCTGGGTGGGTTATCGTCGAGATCTTCCTTTAGCCCGAGGCGACCGCGAATGTGGACCCGCCAACGGACGAGCTCATTCAGACCACGATCAGGAGGAAGTTCGAGAAGTGTACAGTGCTGATGGTCGCTCATCGACTTAACACTGTCATGGACAGCGATCGCATTCTAGTAATGGACGCTGGTAACGCGGTGGTGAGTCAATTCTTTTTTATAATCTTATTTTTTCGTGTATTTTTTCGATAACGTAAACTGTCGTAAACTATTGAATCTAAGTAAGTTGAATTTAAGTAGATTACGAAATTTT